AATACTAGAACAAGTCATACATGATTCATTGGATACACGATGATGAACATGATTAGGGGAGGAAGACATTTGATTTGCTGAAGCTTGTTTAATCAAAAATTGATCAAACCTTTAAGATAAGGATTTCATCTCGGCGGCTATGTCATTGGAATTGTCAATTTGATATAAGCCAATATTCTTCCTTCTACCTAAATTTCTGCCATTTTTAGAGGACAAAGATCTATGCATTGAATTTTCACTCATACTTTCATACAATTGCCACACATCATTCTCATGCTTATCAAGGTAAAAACCACCCATAGATGCATCAACCATACCCTTGTGACTATTCGGTAAACTTTCAAAGAAATATTAAACTAGTTGCTACTTAGGTATGTCATAATGTGGGCACTTCCTAAGTAAGTCATTAAATCTTTCCCATGCCTCATGAAACATTTCCCCATCCCCTTAAGAAAATTCACGAATGAAAGTTCTCATGGCATTGGTCTTAGAAACCGGATAGTACTTCTTCAAGAACTCTTGTTGCATTTTTGCCCAAAAAGTTATCGAAAAAGGCCTAAGATTGTTGAACCAATATTTTGCCTTGTCTTTAAGGGTAAAAAGAAAAAGTTTAAGTCTTAAAACCTCTTCCGGCATGTCCATGTATTTCACGGTGGAACATACGTCAAAAAACTCATCCAAATGCTTATAAGGTTCTTCACTTGGAAGTCCATGATAGTTAGGAACCATTTGGATGGTTTGTGGTTTAATCTCATAGTGATGTGCTCTAAATGGGGGCAATTGAATGCAAGTGGGTGCATTGTATTCATTAGGCACATAATGGTCTCTTAAAGCAATGTGAGGATTCACAACCGGTGGTGCTACTCGAACACCTTGATTGCCTTGCATTATGGGAGGTTGTGGAGCAAATATTGGCCGAGGCATTCCCAATGGAACTTGGCCTTGTTATTGTGGGTGAATGAATGGTCTAGGCATGCCTAATGGTACTTGAATGTTTTCATAATGCACATTAAGGTAAAGGATGCCTTGTTGGTCTATGTGACCAAGGTCCTCCATATGGTCGTCATTCAATTCCTTTATTGGAGAAATGGAGTGATGATAACTACCTCTTCCCCTAGGATTACGAATAATCGATTCAAAATGCAAATTAGGAGGGATAAGAGTAGGATTTAATGACCTACGACCATGTATACACTAGCTAAACAAATAACAAGCAAATAACAATCACTTCGCCCCCACAACAAGTCAATCAACAAATATTCTCCACATACATTGATCCCATACTCCCATGCTTGAACAATATGCAAAGTAAAAGTAAATTGCCTCCATGCGGGCTCACGATTTATCTAAGAATTGAAAACTTGCCACCACGCGAGCCGACGATTTAATTAGAGATTGAGTTAGAAAGATCTCACAAAGGGTCCTTAAGCAACTTCAATTAAACTTTTAAGTTTCAAGCCTTGCTATGCTTTGCAATTTTTTTTAGGTTTCAGCCCTTTTTGCTTTTGCTTAGCTTCACTTGGCTTCCTTGCTTTCAATTCTCCTTTGCTCAACTTCCTTGCTCAATTCATCTAATCAAATATGACCAAATACAATAAGTAACAAAAGTAAAATAAATTAAAGACACGATCAAAAGAGTACTAATTCCTAATTGTTTCCAAAATACGGCGTTGCCAATTCAAATCCCCGGCAACGGCACTAAAATTTGACGAGCTCCTTTCTAATGCGTTTAGAAAACGGACTTTTTAATGCAAGAGGTCGCTTCGCAAAGTTAAAATATGAATGTGGTTTTGGAAGCTTTTCTAGTTAAATTTACATTTATAAAGACCACTACTACAACTAATGAAGTATAGCGAGTAGGGATCGTCTACAGAGATTATACGTGTTGGAATTTAACTTCGACTCTAACGTGTCAAAAGATTGCAAAGGAGGGTCGGTTGGTTGATTACTCTAGGTAACAATTAATTAAAATGCAATTAAAGTAAACTAGTGAGAGATAGGGATTTAAGAGATATGAAGAGAGGTCTTAGGGTGTTGGGATCACCACTAAGCTCATGTAATTAACCACTTAATTTCCATTAATGGGGAATACATTGTTGCAATCAATATATGGCCACAAACATAAACACAATTTGCATGTAAAAGTGTGAACTATCTAAGGCAAGAGTGAATTGTCTACCTAACCAACAAGTAAACTAAGTGTAAAACAACCCACCAACACAAAGGCATAATCCATCAATTAGTTAACAAATGGGTCTAATGAGAGCACACATTAATCTAGAGAATCATGGAATTTGTAATAATAAGACATGAAATATCAAATCAAGTATAGATTGTCTACCTACCTACAAGCATGAATTAAATTGTAGAACAACCCATCAAGCATAATAATAATCCATCAAATTAATTTACAAACCTATTTAATGAAAAACCATGCTTAGCCATCACTAAATCCTTAATTAATCACACATAGACATGCAATCAACATAGAGAATCTAGTGTAAAGGTCAATTCCCCAAATAATCACACATAAGATAACATGTAATTAAAATAGAGAATCATAAGAAAGAATTAAATCAACAATCACAAGGTTAAGCACTAAACACAACAATATATATATAAATCCCCAAAAATAGAAATACAAGGGTTTAGATTACACAAGACTTAGGGCTCATCCAAGCCCTAAGTGTAGATCTAGCTAATAATGGAGGAGGTGGATGTGGTCATAAAACCCTCAAGGAGAAGCTCCAAACATAGCTCTATCTTCTTCTTCTTCTTCTTTGAAGCTCTAGAGAGAGAGAGTATGTGGATGTAGAGATGTGTTCTTGAGATGTGCCTCCATTTCCCTCTTTTCTTCTAACCCTAACCTCTAACTTTCTAGAGAGAGAAAGTTACAACAATATAGAAATTACAATGTAAAAATATGGATCTCTTTACAAAAATGGTTGAATCCCTCTTATATACAAGGCTTTGAGAGCCCAAAAATATGAGAACTCAGCCCTAGAATCCTCTCTTTCAAGCACAGCCCGAGTTGGTTCGAAATGAGATTCAGATCTGCTTTTTAATAACTTTCGCGAACAGTTCAATTAATCAAAGAAAAGTTTGATCGATCAGAGTTCGATCGTTCTCACTTTTCTTCAATCGATCTCTGATCGATCTCACTTGGCAGCTTTTCAGCATCAGCCTCTTTTTGCTCCAGATCAGCCTCCTTTTGCTCCAGATTCTCACCAACACTTAGTTTGACTCCAAAAATGCCTTAAGAAACCATTTTTAGCTCGATTTAACATTATTGACCTAAAATAGACAAAAACACAAATAAGTACTAAAACGGGTAAATAAAAATAGATGAATGAACTAAAATACCCTCGCTTAAGGGATTTAAATGCATACTTTTTAACGCTCGTCATCATGAACTATCAAGTCACATAATCGATTCATTTTCGGTACAAACAATTTTTTAAGAGTCACGCTAGTAAACGTAGTCTGAACTTTTTCCGATCTGTGTAAAGAACGTCTTGCATATGTTTCATAAATTTTGCTCCAAACACCTCGTTACCGAAAAAATAATAATAATAATAATAATAATTAAAGATGTGAAAATTTTATTATATATATATATATATATATATATATATATATATATTTAATTTGGTTTGAAAGATAAGCCAACATAAATCTCGATACATTGCACCACTTAGGGTTTCGACTTTCAACCCCTCTTTAGGAAGGACAAGTCATAATGTCCATCCGTAGGTGCGGTGGTGTGAAAGCACTACATAGCTGAAGTATTCCCCTATTCCACGTGGGATGAGATTAATGCCGGTCTGTGCTCAAGTGGCTGAAATTGGCCTCATGAAAATTCCTTGTCGCTTCAAATTTTCGTAACGAAAAAATTTACATGACATTTCAATAAATGTTGTGCCTCATAAATCAGAGCGCAATTCCAAGTTACTACATATGAGAGGATTAATCGCATAAAGACTGTTTACGTCTATTAATATGTTTTATAAAGTTGACAGAATTTTTCTTCACGTGCCTAAAAGTCGCGTCAAGTACAATTCCAGAAACAAAAGACGAAATCTTTGGAAGTATATTTCTAAAAGTCAAAGGTAATTTAAAGCTTGGTTTTGTATATTTTCTACCATTGTCCAAGTCAGTTCAAAGTTTACCGTATAGAGGTCATGCAAACCTGTTGAATCCCACCATGTTGATTTTAAAAGACTTCCAAAATCCCTGCTTTTACTTCTTTTTTTCTGGTAGAATATCTCATCAGTTGAACAAAAATAATATGTAGAATTAATAATTTTAAAATTCATTTAGATTATCAAAAGGTTAAATTGGTGAGCTGATACATTTTTTTAGGATAATTTTGACGTGATGAAAGGATTTTAGAGATGAGTATGTAGAATGATTCTTTTTACTGGTAGCAACCAAATTTTCTAACCCATGAGAAATATAGTGTGAACTCTGTCAATCAACAATGTTAGCACGAACAAACTCACGTTACTAATTTAAACAAAATTGTCTTCTCAAATTTAAATACGAATTGCCACGCTTAGCATTCAAGATTCAATTACCACGTCACTAAGTACCCCACTCACCCCTCTTTAAAGAAATATTTGCGAAAGTCAATCAGATTGACTGGGTGCATATTTAATTTTTCTGTTTTTTTAAAAAACTTAAAAAATAAAGAAATAAAGAAGAGAGACTAGGCACATGCTATTACAAGTGAATCTATTACAAGTGAATTCCAAACTGATGGCCTAGAACAAAGGCTGGTCATGTTCTACGTACATATTCGTTGATGTGTGCTTTCACGCGGTGTTTAATTGTAAATTTTGTTACCCGATCGACCACTATAAATACAAACCCTTCCTATCTCACCAAGACAAACATAACATAGCTAGCAACAATTAATCTTGTTATTGTTATTGTTCATCCATTGTAGGTGTAACTTCTCATTTCACTTTCATTCTCTCCTCTCTAGATAATTAAACATCATGGAACTTGAGGAACCCATGTTGAAAAAGACTCTTGGTAACCAAAAGTTGGAATGGAATCTGCAAATGAACACAAGCAGTCCTCAAGTTTCTGATCATGATGCCGACATCGGATTGGAATCGTTCAGGATGCTTGAAAATGATGTCCCGAGTGGCCCTCCGGAGATGAAACTAGCGTGGTTGCGGTCTCAAGTCATCGGCAGTGATGTGGAGTTCAATACTCCTTTTGGAAAACGTCTGCTTACCTATGCCGACTACACTGCCTCCGGCCGATGTCTTCACTACATTGAGAACTACATCATCAACAATGTTCTTCCAATTTATGGTAAGTTAGTTATCATTTTTAACATTTGTGGCTATCAACTTTTCTACTAAATTAAAATTAACATTTTTTCATTTGTACTGTTAACAGGGAATAGTCATACAAGTGACAGTTATGTGGGGCACCAAACTACAACAATGGTGCATGAGGCAAGTAAGTATGTCAAGTCTTGCTTAGGGGGAAAAGATGAAGATGCAATCCTGTTTGTTGGCTCCGGCACAACGGCAGCCATTAAACGGCTTCAAGAAGTTATGGGAATTGCTGTTGCATCAACTATGAAGAATAGGGTGTTGAATAGCCTAAGGGATGAAGAAAGATGGGTCGTTTTTGTTGGGCCATATGAACATCACTCGAACCTTCTGTCGTGGCGCCAAAGCTTAGCAGAAGTTGTAGAGATTGGTCTTGATGAAAATGGCTTAATCAACATTAAAGCTCTAACGCACCAACTCGAGTTATACCAGCAGACAAATCGTCCTATGTTGGGTTCTTTCTCAGCTTGCAGTAATGTCACCGGAATTTATACTGACACGCGTTCCCTTGCTTCACTTCTCCATCAATATGGTGCTTTCGCATGCTTTGATTTTGCTGCAAGGTATGTAATTTTTTTGCTTTTCTTATGTTTCTCTAGGAAATGGTATTATTAATAATTGTTCAATTGCTAACGTGCTTGCTTTGCTTTAAAACTTATATGTACAGTGGTCCTTATGTGGAGATTGACATGAGATCTGGGGGAGTGGATGGATATGATGCAATTTTTCTGAGTCCACATAAGTTTGTTGGAGGACCCTGCACTCCTGGAATTCTTCTAATGAACAAGGTCCTCTATCAATTAGGATCTTCACCACCTTCAACATGTGGTGGAGGAACTGTGAGCTTTGTCAATGGATATAGTGAAAAGGTATTTAGTCATCACCTCTTTTTGTGCTAATTTGAGAGACACACACATGCTTATAGGTTGTGTTTGAAAGCAAACAATTAATTTCTCTATCGATCATCTTATGGTTTCATCAATTACCAAGTTTGCTAATTAAATGAAATGGGTTGCAGGACACTGTATATTATGAAGATGTGGAAGAGAGAGAGGATGCTGGAACGCCACCAATTATTCAGAAAATGAGAACAGCAATGGCTTTCTGGGTAAAACAATACATTGGCTGTGAAGTGATTGAAATGCAAGAGCACAATTTCATAGAAAGGGCACTTGACAGACTTTTTCCAAATCCAAACATATGGATACTAGGAAATACTAGTGTAAAAAGGCAAGCTATCCTGTCCTTCCTTGTGTTCTCCACAGCGAATTCATCCTTTGTTGACATGAAAAACAAAAGCTCCATAGATGGTAATGGGACGAGATCAGACGGAGGAATTTCCATTTGGAGAGAGTCCGGGAACATGAGAGACAAGCCCCTTCATGGCGCTTTTGTTGCAAAACTCCTCAATGACTTGTTTGGCATCCAAGCTCGTGGTGGGTGCGCCTGTGCTGGACCCTATGGTCACCATCTTCTCCATGTCGATGAGTCTCATTCACTTGCCTTCAAATCCACCATCCAGAAAGGTTACAATGGAGTGAAACCAGGATGGACACGAATTAACTTTGCTTACCACATGTCAATAGAAGAGTTCGAGTTCATTCTTGCTGCATTGGAATTCATAGCCATGTATGGCCAGAGGTTCCTTGCACTCTACGACTTCAACTGGAAAACAGGCAATTGGACTTTCAAGAAGAAGGCATTCAAAGAGATTGAGGCAATCAAACAATGCAGGCAAGAATTCAATAACTTATTGATCACTCGTGCTTTGCAAGCAACAAGTTTCGAAGACACTGAGGCAGTTGTTAACAACAACACCGTTGAGATGATCCACAAATATGTGTCTTACTTGGAGATTGCTAAAAGAATTGCTCATTCTCTTCCAAAGTTTCCTCCTCGTAGAAAGATTCCAAAAGAGATTGATCTTGACATTGTGCAGTTCAGAGTCTAGTCTGAATTTTACATTGGTTTTATTTATTGTTATGTGATGCTTTTGCATCTTAAAGATATGTTATTCTTTTTGTATCAGAATAATAAATGAACAAAAAACTGGAACTTCTTGTTCCTTTTTTCTCTGTTTTGTTGTATTGCTCCTTTTGTTTCCTTTCAATTTTTCGATTGTTTTTCAAAAATTATTCCATGCCCAAAAAGGGAAAAGAAAAAGCATGACTTGATATTGTTAATAATTATTATATTAAATCTAATATAAAAATTTGCATTAACTAAGTAAAAGGTTAACATGCAACCACTATAGCCTTCATGACTCTCCTTCTGTTAGGAGTGTAGCCTCGGATTGGAATCTCTCCAATTCTTTCATTTGAGTGACGTCCTTTTGCATAGAATAAAGACATTTCAACCTAGCTTTTAGTGTAATGGCCTTTGTTCATATTGTCCTAGGCTTAGAGCTATTAGTCTTTGCCTTTCTTTCTTCTTGAAGCCTGGCTCACCCAGTAGATTTTTATATTTACCTATTCAATTTGTTTGAAAAAATAAATAAATAAAAACTCTTTCAACCGTTATATAAAATATTGGGATAACTATCAGTAAATGGACTTAAGAACCTAAATACTACATTGACATGAAGTGAACTTTAACAAAGGGCACTAATTAACATGGAGTTTTGCCACCAATTTTACACATACATCGAAAAAATTCTAATTTTGACCATATAACAACATATAATATCACGATGACCCAAAATCACAATTATGATAATAGAAATGCCTTTAAAACATAAAAGAAATTTAATATAGGTTTGCCATGCTCCTACAAAATATTATTAAATATACTAAACTTTAAGAAGTTAACTCTAAAATATAAGGGTATTACATTCTCTCTCAAAAAAAAAAAATTAAAGGAATTCCGAAATTCACCAAATCCATGAAATGAAACTCTTATTAATTTATCCAAATTTTCATTTCCCATTTCCAAGTGGACTTTACCTATTTATTATGGCTCCACTCAACATACCTATACTTATAACATAGCACGGGGTTCCTATTTTCAAGAACACAATAAGCTATTCCATATCTGTTGCATCCATCTGCAACTAAACTAATCACTTTACACATGATGTAGACAATTTAGTTCCACCAACCTATAGGCTATTGCCATACCAATCAAAACATGAACATTCACGTAGTGAGGTGATAACTGTGATATCCCCTTATTTCTAGACCTTGGGTTAATCAAGTCCAAGTCCAAAACTCAGGAGATATTGAACAATTAATATATTGAATCGAACAAAGAATACATAATAAATAAATAATATCGCTAAAAGATAAACTAATAAATAATTAAAAAATCTCCTTTAAATAAAATCCATTAATCCTCAAAGATGGATAAAAATCTACATAGAAAAAATCTCCATAAGAGTACAACTCGAAAATCTTCAAACATGAACCCCTAATAAAATCTCATAACTAAAAATAAATAAATGTCTAATAATTGAAATAACCAATTCAAATATAGAATCCTACGTCGATGATACAAAAGAGTGATGATGCCAAGTTTATGATCTGCATGAACAATTGTTAATCATGCTACTAACGAGGACTTGAAAAATATAATAATGGGATGTCAAAACTCACAACAAGTCCTTTCTACGATAACCCAAACATAGATCTGAAAAAACTACACATCTATAGCTAACTTATGCAATAGCTACATAGTCGATAAATATATAAATATACACATTAAAGACTCTCACTGGACTAAGGCAGACTCAGCCGTGTAGTGGGTATCTCATGCAAATCGCACACAAAGGTGGTCACAAATCATCCTTCTACTAGGGCACAAACATCCCTAATCCAGGTACCCATCTTAACTGGAAATATACGCCTCCACCCTAACCATTGATCCCAAGACCTCAAGCTTGTATCATGGTACACATAATATCATTATAGATATAATTAATTATATCCTGACAATGGTTAACAGATAATAACCATGCCCATATCCTAATAATAAGTTGGAAGTTATAAAAATATATAATAGCCATATCCCAACAATGGCATGTCATTCATATTCTGACAATGGCTTGACATAGAATGAGTCTAAACTTATTAGCCAGCTCATCTACATAATACAAAACAAAACCATATACTGACAATGGCTTACATGGAACTAAATCCTGACATTGGTCCTCAAACATATACAGTCCCGTTTGGTTGTTGGATTTCATCCAATGACCGAAATTGAAAACAACTATATTATTTGTTTCTAGTTTTTTAAGACTTCAAAACCACTCAATTTTAAATTAAACAAAGCAACCACTCAATATGGGTGTTTTAAATAAAACAAAACACCTTATAATAACTTCTTTTTTTTCGTGTTTTTCTTCTGTACATATAGAGGAACATTTATAAATAAATAAAAAAATGTCATTCATCAATCAATCGAGGTGGCCTATTGAAATTATGTTTTATCCAAATTTTGATAAAATCCTTAAAATGACACACTATTGTATTTTTCCATAGTTTAGAACTTTGTTGCTTAATTGTACAGTAACAAGTTGTGGTCAGTTTTTTTTCTTTACAATTTTTTATTTTATTTTATTTTATTTTTATTTATTATTATTATTATTTTTTTACAATACGGAAGGACTTAGTAATTATGAATAGATGGAAAAGACCTAAGAAAAAAAAATGTAATTATTCTTTAAAAAAAATTTGTACGAATAGATATATTTTTTTCACATAATAGAAGGACTTCACTACTCTAAGTCACCTATATGCAAACGATTTTAGTGAAAGTATTTATTTATTTTTTTCATTATTAATACTCCTTATTATAAGGTGTTTTATTTTCTTTAAGACACTCAAATTGAATGGTTTTGGAGACTTAAAAAACCAGAAACAGATAATATAGTTGTTTTCAATTTCAGTCATTGGATAAAATCCAACAACTGAAATAGAAGTCTCGTATATTGTTCCCTGCACACTAAGAAACAACTGAACGGGACTGTATATATATATATATATATATATATATATATATATATATATATATATATATCATGCTTTAATATTATAAAATACAGATATGCAATTGATTATAATCATATCATATCATAACCACACATAACATATAATTTCATGTTATCAAATCACAGGAATGACTTATAATTTATTTAAGCTTCCTATATTATTTATCTCACATAAACTAAATCTTAAGTATGCTAATATTTTATTTATACATCGAAGGAAACATTCTCCAAACATATCTCATGCTAAACATTTAATCTCATTTGTTAAATTAAATCAAAAGATTAAATTCATCAATATTTTATTAAATAAATTCAAATTGCATGCATCATTGTATGGCTATTTAAATTTACATATCATCATACCTAAATTCCTATTTAGTATTTGGGGCCTTAAATAATTAATTCAGGGTCAAACGTAGTCTTTTACCTAAAATTTCCTAGAAGATGCTCAAGCACCCTCCTTAGTATGCTTGAGCACATTCCTAGGTGTGCTCGAGCACTGTTTCCTAGAACAATGTGCTCAAGCACTGTTTCATGAAACAGCCCGAGAAACCTATTTTTAAGCCTTGTTCTTCATTGCTAAAGGTCCTAAAGCATGTTACTAAGTCCCATCAACCCAAGCACAAAAATACATTAATATAGCATGTAAAAATCTATTAAAAATCATATCTAAGCCATGAATTTATCAATTCATACAACAAGAACAACTACGAACATAAACCCATAAAAACCTATGTTTTAAATCAATTTCAATATGGATTTAGATTTTAATAATCCTTTAAACATCCCTAAGGTTATACTAGAGATCTATCCAGAGACATCCGCGAAGCGCGACCTGCCCATCCTACCTCCTCTTCCTGATCTCTCTATCTCTTTTCTCCTGTCATCTCATATATCTGTGATCTCATCATGTTTTTGATACTGTTATATTATTTTTGCAGCCATGTCTGTCGGCTCTGAGACTGTATGTACTGTACTTTATTCTTTGTTTATATATGCTTTCTTTATGGATGTCATATTTTCATATTCTTATACCTATCTGTTTAACTCCATCAAGTGCATCCCAGTGACTTCAGTGAGAGAGAATACTGCCTAAAATTTTCAGGACCACCTTTTTACCTCTCTCTAATTTCAGTTGCTATCCCATTTACGCTTGCATGTCCACTGTGCACTGTTATTATCCCTTTTTTTATCTGATGAGTTTATCCAAGTGCCAAATTTCAGGACCACAGTTAATCTCAAGTTTGGGGGAGCTATGCCACCCACTTTAGATACTTCTGTCCCAGCCATTCTTTGCCTTACTTGCACTGGTATACTCTTTCCAATTGTTCTCTTTGCACATTAAAGACATTGTGCCATTTAAGTTTGGGGGTAATGGTGCTTTGCAGTGTTTATTTTTAAATTCAAAATTTTGAGCATGACTTGTGTATTTGAGGGGATTTTCTATGATTGGTTCATGATTAGCTATGATTTTGATCTTTTAAGGACTATATTGCTTTAAATTTAAAAATTGCTAGACTTGAGAGTCCAATACTCCTTGTATGCCTTGTGGATGCTATTTATGAGTAAATTTTTCGAAAAATTGATATCTTGCTTACACTTGTGGTCTACATCATCTTGATTTTGTGATTGTTTTGAGATTCACTCTAGAATTCTACACTCGCACAGGCGCACACTAGCATTTATTTGTGGGTACATACTTTGTTGATTATTGAATTGGTTATATCCCAATTGGGCTAGTAGTGCATTGAAAGCTTTCATTCTTGATAAAGGTTGATAATAACTCCTTTTCACTAAGTAACCGGAATTCTAGCCTCATTAGGTACTGAACTTCTCGCGCCGAAAGATGGAGAGCCCAAACTCTAGGTTAATAATTGAATTAAAAAAAAAAAAAAAAAAAAAAAAGTGAGAACTTCTCCCAAAAAGGTGAGAAGTGGGAAATAATTAGATGGCGGTTGTTTTGATTTTTAG